AGTAGCTGGGATTATAGGCATGTGCCACCATGCCCGGCTAATTTTTGTATTTTTAGTAGAGTTGGGTTTTCACCATGTTGGTCAGGCTGGTCTGAAACTCCTGACCTTGTAATCTGCCCACCTTGGCCTCCCAAAGTGCTGGGATTACAGGTGTGAGCCACCCCCCCCCCCACGGCCAAAGTCCATTATATTTTTAGAGGTATTTAAGTAATGCAAGCTTGTGATGTGAAATTATTTAAAGAGAATGGTGGATGGATAACCTCTATAACACTGGTTTCAAGGGTTAATTAAATCCCCTTAGATGAAGTACAAAACAAATTCTCCACAGAGGAGTTGTTGCAAAGTTCCAGTTTATACCAAACAGTAATCAGATACCATTGGAAGCTAAAGATCCTGAGAGACTTTGGTATTATATGCACCTAACTTGATTTCAAGCTTGGGAACCTTTTCTTTTAAAAAAAAAAAAAACAAGAGCAAAATGTAAGTATATAAGGAATGCCAAATCAAATATATAGACTAATCCTTTTCTGTTAAGTATTTTAAGAGTCTTTTTCTTCTTTATAGGAAAAATGCTTTCTGAAAGCAGCTCCTTTTTGAAGGGTGTGATGCTTGGAAGCATTTTCTGTGCTTTGATCACTATGCTAGGACACGTTAGGATTGGTCATGGAAATAGAATGCACCACCATGAGCATCATCACCTACAAGCTCCTAACAAAGAAGATATCTTGAAAATTTCAGAGGATGAGCGCATGGAGCTCAGTAAGAGCTTTCGAGTATACTGTATTATCCTTGTAAAACCTAAAGATGTGAGTCTTTGGGCTGCAGTAAAGGAGACTTGGACCAAACACTGTGACAAAGCAGAGTTCTTCAGTTCTGAACATGTTAAAGTGTTTGAGTCAATTAATATGGACACAAATGACATGTGGTTAATGATGAGAAAAGCTTACAAATATGCCTTTGATAAGTATAGAGACCAATACAACTGGTTCTTCCTTGCACGCCCCACTACGTTTGCTATCATTGAAAACCTAAAGTATTTTTTGTTAAAAAAGGATCCTTCACAGCCTTTCTATCTAGGCCACACTGTAAAATCTGGAGACCTTGAATATGTGGGAATGGAAGGAGGAATTGTCTTAAGTATAGAATCAATGAAAAGACTTGACAGCCTTCTCAATATCCCTGAAAAGTGTCCTGAACAGGGAGGGATGATTTGGAAGATATCTGAAGATAAGCAGCTAGCAGTTTGCCTGAAATATGCTGGAGTGTATGCAGAAAATGCAGAAGATGCTGATGGAAAAGATGTATTTAATACCAAATCTGTTGGGCTTTCTATTAAAGAGGCAATGACTTATCACCCCAACCAGGTAGTAGAAGGCTGTTGTTCAGATATGGCTGTTACTTTTAATGGACTGACTCCAAACCAGATGCATGTGATGATGTATGGGGTATACCGTCTTAGGGCATTTGGGCATATTTTCAATGATGCATTCGTTTTCTTACCTCCAAATGGTTCTGAAAATGACTGAGAAGTAGTAGAAAAGCATGAATATGATCACTGTATAGGACATGTGTTGTCATTATTTGTAGTAGTAACAACATGTCTAATACAGCTGTATGTTTCTTTTCTAATTTGGTGGCACTGGTATGATCACACATTAAAGTTAGTACATTTTTAATGGGGGTAGTTTTTTTTTCTTTAAAACACATGAACATTGTAAATGTGTTAGAAAGAAAAGTTTTAAGAATAATTTGCAAATAAGGGATATATTAATAAATATATGTGATAAATTATAAATCATGAACATTAGAAATCTGTGTGGCAAATATTTTTGCTGATTGGTTAAAAAATTTTAACAGGTCTATAGCATTCTAAGGTATGCAAATGATATCTCTAATTGTGAATTTGTCATTAAAATAAAACTTTTAGCTGTATGTTCCCTTTACTTCTAATACTGATTTACGTTCTAAGCTTCCCCAGGTACCAATGGATTTGCCTTCTCAAAATGTACAACCAAGCAACTAAAGAAATATTAAAGTGAAAGTTGAAAAATATCCCTGAGGAAAAAAAACTGAAAATTACTTACTGAAGTTGAGTAATTTTCCTGGAAGCTAATTTAGTGTCATTCCTCAGAGCATACGCAATTTCAATGTAACTGTCTGTACTTCAGCATGTACATACTGACATTTGGTGCCAATGAAGAATGTCATGTCATTTAATTTTGTTCTCAGTTAATCAAGCTCCCAGCTGCAATTTGAATAAAAATGTACTCCTGCTAGGTCAATGAGTTCTGTGGAAATCTTTGAAGAACTTGTTTTGGCCATCTGGCAGTTTGACTTATCTGAATTGAATCCATTCTGGATTTTGGTTTTTTGTTTGTTTTTTGAGACAGAGTCTTGCTCTGTTACCCAGGCTGGAGTGCAATGGCGTGATCTTGGCTCACTACAACTTCTGCCTCCCTGGTTCAAGCAGTTCTCCTGCCTCAGCCTCCCAAGTAGCTGGGATTACAGGCACCCACCACCATGCCTGGCTAATTGTTTGTATTTTTAGTAGAGATGGCGTTTCGCCATGTTGGCCAGGCTGTTCTCAAACTCCTGACCTCAGGTGATCCACCCGCCTCAGCCTCCCAAAGTGCTGGGATTACAGGCATGAGCCACCATGCCCAACTGGTTCTGGATTTTGTTTCCTTGTTCAAGTTCAGGAATTTTTTCCCATGTTCATGGCTGTACCATATCTGTTTTCAGTGTGGAAGACCTAACCTGTCTACTTTGCGTTACCATACCTTTTGCCAAATTTCCATGGCTACCCAGAAACTTAATCCAGTGGTAGATGCAATAGCTTCTGTACTGATAAATGTGTGAAATACTTAGAGCTGACTTGTACTATAATCTGGCCACCACATGCTGTGAGGCCCCATAGGGTTTTAGAACATGACATTTTAGAGTAACTGGCCTTATGATGGTAATGGTCTCCTACAGCCTTAGCAAACCAGAAAGAAAATTTCCTTAAGATGGCCTTGGGCTTGAAGTTATTGATTCTCAGTGTAGTATGTAAAACTTTGCTTTATTTATCTGATTTTTCTCATTGAGGGTTTTGGTTAAGAGGAAGTGTTACTAGCTTTGAAGAATAACAAAACCCCTTTATCAAGCACCCTAATATGTGGTCTCAGATGCAGTTACCACAATTAAATTATGTTCAATGTGAGTGCAATAATAAACAGTATCTCTCAGAGTGTACAGCTTATGTCACCATGCCCCCAACACAAGTATATTTTAAATTTTTCTTTTTCTTTTTTTTTTGAGATGGAGCCTTGCTCTGTCACCAGGCTGGAGTGCAGTGGTGCAATCTCACTGCAACCTCCGCTTCCTGGTTCAAGCGATTCTTCCTCCTCAGCCTCCCGAGTAGCTGGGACCACAGGCGCGTGCCACCATGCCCAGCTAATTTTTGTATTTTTATTAGAGATGGGTTTTCACCATGTTGGCCAGGATGGCCTTGATCTCTTGACCTCATGATCCGCCCACCTTGGCCTCCCAGTGTGCTGGGATTATAGGCTTGAGCCACTGCACCCAGCCTAAATTTTTCTATTGCATTTATCATCTTTACTTAGTATATCAAAGTATCATAATAAACGTGGCAGAATGCATTGCATTGTTTGTTAATGAGTGCTAAGGTAACATTGCCTTTTAAACCAAATTGATGCTCTTGATTGTATTAATATACATGAGTATTTTTTTAATGAAATGTTAGGTGTCTTAAATACTATGCTGTCTCTCTGAACTTATTTGCACCCAGTCTTGTAGATGAAATCTAATCAATAACAGAGAAAATAGTACTACTGAGGTTGTAGTTACAGATTTGATCACCATATATGTCTGTTAGCTTTACATAGAAAAATAACATACTCAGTAACCAAAAACAAGAACCCTAACCCCACGCTTGATGGGGAGAGAGTTGGAAAGAATGGAGGTCTAATGGAAATTGGTCAGGATTGTGAATATACTCTACATACAGCTAGTGACTGTCATATGGAATAGCACAGGTGTAAGCAATTCTAGGTGTAAGACCCCACTCCTGGCTAAGACGTGAATAGAGAAAAATTGAGCCCTCCCTCCCTCCCCGAAAAAAGAAAAATAAAATAAAAATTTTAAAAATAATAATAAAAGAGTAACTTGCACTTTCCTCTAAAAGTTGTATTTATTTGGTTGTCTCAAATGCAATGGAAATCACAGCATGACTTTTAGCACACTCCAGCCCATTGCCTTGTGTGAGTTCAATCACTGGATCTTCCTTCTCAAAAGTAAAACATTGGATCTGGAGCAAAATACGGATTTAGACCCCTTGGCTATTTTCTGGGTGTGGGGGACTGGCGGGGAGTAAGCTAAAAGGTTGCTTGTGTGCCAAACCTGATTCATAATGCCAAGATTTTTCTATAATGCACTTAGACGAACTCAGTTATCGGGTGTTCTTAAAGCAGGGCACACCTGTAATAGAAAAGTCACTGAAAATAGAGTCTAATGATGATATACCACTACTTTCCCTTTCATTTGTTAAGAATATTGTGTTCTGGCCAGGCATGGTGGCTCACTCCTGTAATCCCAGCACTTTGGGATGCCAAGGTGGGTGGATCATCTGAAGTCAGGAATTCGAGACTAGCCTGGTCAACATGGTGAAACCCTGTCTCTACTAAAAATACAAAAATTGGCCGGGTGCAGTGGCTTATGCCTGCAATCCCAACACTTTGGGAGGCTGAGGTTGGGAGTTTGGGACCAGCCTGACCAACATGGAGAAACCCCGTCTCTACAAAAACACAAAATTAGCCGAGTATGGTGGCACATGCCTGTAGTCCCACCTACTCGGGAGGCTGAGGCAGGAGAACCACTTGAATCTGTGGTGAGCCAAGATCGTGCCAGTGCACTCCAGCCTGGGTGACAAGAGCAAAACTCCATCTCAAAAAATACATCATAAAAACACAAAAATTAGCTGGGTGTGGTTTTTGGCGCCTGTAATTCCAGATACTCAGGAGGCTGAGGCAGGAGAATCACTTTGGCCTGGGAGGTGGGGGTTGCAGTGAACCAAAATTGTGCCATTGCACTGCAGCCTGGGTAACAAGAGTGAGATGCTGACTCCAAATATATATATATGTATATATATATGTATGTGTATATATATATATATATATATATGTGTGTGTATATATATATATATATAGTGTTCCTTTTGGTATGAACTGACTTTGATGCACTCAGTGCTTGCCTGAGTGGTTATGTGAGAAGCATATGTTTATAGAAGTTAGCTTTCTTTTGGCATACAAAGACATTCAGAAATGTTTATCAACTCCCCCCCCACTCAAAAATATTGCCCCAAAATTAAAAAATAACTATACTTGACAGTTTTTACAAGTTTGAAAAAAATTACAAAAAATAACTGTACTCAATAGTTCTAATATCACCAAAAAATAAAATACTATAAAGCATTTAAAGTGTAATGGGAAAATGACTTGTTTCAAAAAGTGTAAAATAATGGTTTATCTCTAGGGTCTAGGCCTGGTGCTTTGTGGAAAGCAAACGGAGCCCAAACTGTAATTCATCATAGAGTCAAATAATCATTTCACATAAGGTTTGCATGAGCAATAAGACAAACTGTAATTTTATAATGTATTACTAGAATATACAGGTCAGCTCTTTTGTCTTTAAATTTCTGGATTTGATAAATGCTATTTCTTTCTTT